AGTTTTTGTCGTGTCCGTCCGTCTGTCTAGCTGTCTCTCTGTCTGTCTCTCTGTCCGCAAAATCTTTAACTTTGCCCATAACTTGATTTAGTGGGGCCATGACTTTCATATTTCCCAAGTGTATTCCTTGTGACAAGACGTTTCTTTGGTTACCACCAAATTTGATCTTTTGATCTTGACCTTGGAGTTTGACACACTTTTACATGAAAATTTTAAACTTTTACTTTTGCCATATCTTTTGAACAGTAAATACCAGGACATTTATACTTTACATATGTAATTTTTGTTGAAAGAGCTTTCATTGGATACCAACAACCTTGACCCTTTTACCTAGACCTTGTAGATTTCTGTACTTGTGAAAAAACTTAAAACCTTGGCCATAACTTTTGAACAGTAAGGGATACGGCTTTCATACTTTATATGTGTAATCCTTGTGAGAAGTACCTTCATTGAATACCAAGAACTTTGACTCTTTGACCTTGACCTTTGAGACTGACCTACTTTAACAAAGCAAACATTGACCATAACTTTATAGGGTTAGAGCTAGTGCTTTCATACTTTGCATATTTAATTCTTGTGACAAGACCTTTCATTTGATAACAAGAACTTTGACCCTTTGACTTTGACCTTGGAGTTTGACCTAATTAAAAAATAAATAAAAATGGAATTTATAGAGATTTAATAAATCGGGTGGATTCTTAAAGGAGTCTTTGCTCTCATTATGTTCATCATCTTAATGGTCTGTATCTTAAGGTATTTCGCAGACGGCTGTTTTTTTTTTTTTTTGTCCCCCGCTTGAAAAGTGGGGGATATTACTTTGGGTCCGTCCGTCCGTCCGTCTGTCATTCTGTCTGTCTGTAATGCTTTCGTTTCCACACGATATCTCGAGAACCCTTTGAGCTTTCGCAATGAAATTTTGCATATCAACTCCTTATGGACTAAAAGAACCCTATTGATTTTGATGTCAAAAGGTCAAAGGTCAAGGTCATAAATTCGCAAATTCTGTCTGCTAGAACACTTTTTTTTTTGGTTTCCGCGCGATATTTTAGAACCCTTTAAGCTTTTGCAATAAACTTTTACATAGCAACTCCCTATGGCCTAAGTGAGACCCCTATATATTTTGAGGTTAAAATGTCAAAGTTCAACGTCGTTAAATTATACATTATGTCTGTGTGTAACACTATTCTTTCCGGGCGATATTTCAAGAGGATTTTGAGCTTTTGCAATGTAATTTTAAATCAAAACTCCCTAGGACCTCTCTCACCCCTCTCAAAGTGTCCTGCCCCGTTTGTTATATTAGTATTTATTGTATTACATGTCGCTATTTTTAGCACATGGGCATGAAGAGAGTTATTACGTATAAAACAGGTTCTCGGCAGACTTTATATTCTTATTACATTAGAACTGTTTAAGACACCATGCATTGTGTAAAATTTTGACAATATCGAACGTAAATATATAAATACAAGTATGTTACTTCATATTTGCGTATAATTTCACAAGCGAAAAGCAGTTCCGTGGTCTATTGGTATGTCTCTCACTTCACATGTGAGAGTTCCCGGGTTCAAATCCCGGATGATCCATTTACTTTTTTTTTCGAAATACTTTTTTTTAACTAAATGATAGTAATTAGCATGTGGAATAAAAAAAAGTATGGACTAGCGCTTGTGACCGAAATCTTCATTAGGAAGGTTGTGGGCCTATCCAGAATAACAGACATCAACCCCATACGCTGATGAAAGATAAAAAAATGTCTTTTTAAAAAGGAAATCAACGACTTTTCCCCCTTTCAAGACTTTCTCTCTTGTTCTCACTATATCATATTTATTTTTTTCCACTAAGTTATGAATACCGTCAATTAGATCATTCTTACATTTTTAGATAAAAACAGTAAACCTAATTTTTGTTTCACAAGCGATTAACCGGCTAATTTTTTCTGTATTTGTCAAAATGTTTTGAAAATTTATATCATAAAAAAAAAACAAATTTTTGATTTGGAGATGCTTCTGAGAGAAATTTTCAGTGTCCGTAGATACACTCTACGCAGCATTACCTTTTTTTTTTAAATTTTAAATTAAACTTTCATTTTTTTTCATTGCTTGATACGGCGCCGCTGGAGGGCCAGGTAAAAAAATATTTTTATTTGTTCGGACGAATTAGTTATTTGTTCGGACGAATTAGATATTCGTTCGGACAAATTAGAAATTCGTTCGGACGAATTAGAAATTTGTTCGGACAAATTAGTTATTTGTACGGACGAATTAGAAATTCGTTCGGACGAATTAGTTATTTGTTCGGACAAATTAGAGAAATTGTGAACAACTATCAGGACACCGCGAATAATGTGCGGTTTGCACCAAGACGTTTCATTTTATTTTGATTCTTTGCAAAATAACTTTAATGAACAACATTATCAATAAATATTTTGAAGATAAGTCGTTTTAATGTTGATCTCTTTCTTATAATTTTTATGTACATATTCACTACCGTGCACACTGTAAAAAATAAGTGTTTAAGAAATAAACACCAAATTGCAACAGATAATAAACACTTCAACACGTTTAAGATTTAAACACCTCGTGAAGTGTTTAAGAAATAAACACGTTAGAATGTTTAAATTCTAAACACACGAGGTTTAATATTTAAATACTTCTTTTTCATTCTGTTTAAATATTAAACACTTCAAAAACACAAAATGTTTAAATATTAAACACTGAATTAATACATAGAGTTTACTAGATAAACACCGTGAATGTTTAATATGTAAACACTTCATGTTTAATTAATAAACATGTTCAACCTAAACATTTAAACACTTAAACATGTTTATTCGATGCAACAGATAATAATCACTTAAACATGTTTATACATCAATTTTTAAACACTTCAACATGTTTATTTTACCAAATAAATAAACACTTAAACGTGTTTATAAGTTTTTCAACATTTTATTTGAAACAAACATAAAACAGTACAAAACACACAATTTGGTTGATAATGAACATGTTGTACATAAAGTTATTTTTAATTGATAAATTAATGATTTAATGTTGATTTGGGGGTTCAAACTTATTAAACAATTATAACATTAAACAACACATTTATTTACACATAGATACATTTCAATTTAAGTTTTAAAAAAATAGAATTATCAAAAGAAGCTATCACGAACATGTAAAACCTGCATGTGTAAACTAAAATCCAAAAAATTAATTTCGGGAAGGGGGTGTCTTTGAAATATAAAACAAAATACATTATCGATTAATACAATGAAATATTTTCCATCAGTAAAATTTTAAAAAGGGCTAGGTCTTCCTTGACATTTTTTTTAATAATAAAAGAATCAAATCCATGAATATATGATGCAAAAAGACTGAAAATGTTATTTGTTGTCTGGGTACGGGATGTACATGTATATACATGTATTACACTCAGTCTGATAAATCTAGTTGTAAAGTTTACTTTCATAAATATTCAGAGTTTTAACCAAATGAAGAAATTTTCCAGTTTTGACCTGTAGGACTCATTCATTAAATATTCTCTATACTATACATGGGCTGCCGGGGTATCACTCACTCAATTCCATATAATATTCTAACCGAGTTAAAGCCCGAGATAATAAGCACCGCCTTCAGATTTACCTGGTCTGTATCCCCCTGTCAATCAAATGAATTAAGGTCCATCATTGGGTACTTGAAATTGATTGACAGTTAGCTACTAGTCCCTATGTATATCTCTTTCACCTTGTTTGACACGCGTGGCCACCATCAAATTAACTTTCGGCTTCTGATGTTTACCGCTAATTTACCATCGCAATCACAGGTGCCTGTGATCGCAATAAGGAAGCCATTTCGATGTAAACAATTTCAGCTTGATTATAATTAATTAATCATCCGTATTGCAAACATGTAAATAAAAAATGATTTATGATCTCATTGTATTTCAATAAAATAAATCAAGATTGTATATACTTTTACTAATGAAATGAATGAAATCTTATTTTAACTCGTAAAAACTAAGAATGGTTCTTTTTTTGAGATGCGGCGAAAAATTACGATGTAAATAAAGGAGTAACACTTTTTGCATGTAATGGACAACTAAGGATGAAAACAAAATATTTTATAAGTAACAACTTCGTCTGGACAAGTATTAAGAGTTTCTTTCTTTTCTTTTCCTTTTTATAACCGAGCATTTCTTGCTTCGTGGGTTGTTTCCTCCGTTCAAGGTCACAGGTGTTAAAAAGTGTTTTGAAAGAAATACATATGTTAGCAATAATTTAATATTTTGTTTTAATTTGTAATATTATAATCTAAATTAAGTTAAAATACACAAATACTTGTATGTAATTTTACAAAACCATCGTTATCGCGATTTTTTCACTCAATGGGATACAGAATGTACATTTGCTAAAAATAGGATCACGCGACTTTTTATACAAACGGCAAGTAACTGTTACTGTTTGACCGTGATCGATGCTCTAATTGCAACTATATATCAATAATTATGAATAATTTTTAAGATTATGAAAGGGACAGACAAGGATGAGTATTTTACTTTTGAAATTATACCTGTATATCATAATAATTATTTATTTTTTTACAACGAACTCAAGTCGTTGCTGCTGTACATGTGACGTACAACATATCGTAGATTTTTTTTGTTTAATATTAGTTATGATCTGAAATTACGAAATTTTCCAATTATCATTAATTACTATTGATATTTTTAAATTACGATGTCGAATTCTACTAATTTTATGATGAACAGTAGGCCATCAAGCTGTACAGGTAATACCCATGGACTTCCTGTGTATACTATTTGTGTATAGTGATTAGCGATTCCCACGGTCTGCACGACCGTCTATGCCTCGTGGTGCCACGCAAGTAAAATTTAGTCCCTCCCCTTACCTGAGAAAACCGTACGGTTAAAAATCTCGGCCTTTAAACAGTCTAGCTCCTCTGGTTGTGGGTAAAATTCAGGTTCTTCTACACAGATATATCGATGATGATCTCCAGTTTTCCATTCTCCAAAATTGTATCCACACTAAGTAGTTCTAGTTCCTTCTTCTCATCAGAAATATCCTGAAAAAAAGATAGATGAAAAAAAGATTCACTATGAAAATCAAGATAATTATATGCAAAAGAATACATTGAGATCGAAAACTAAAATAATTTGTTCTTCACGCCATTTTTAATTATATAATACATACTGAGACAAATTTGGAATAAAAATCTGCAATTGAAATAAATCATATAAGCGTACAGTGTGTACACTAAAAATTTAAATGTTCATGTACCTGCAGGATCGGCCCAAAAGCAAAAATTAAGAGAAGGGGTTGGGGGGGGGGGGGCTACCTTGTCTCAAGACATTTTCTATCATGTAAACAAGCACTCCCATATGTGCGCGGGCTGGAGATGAAAATTTTTGTACATGCGGGATTGTGGTATTGTTGGATGTTAGGGAACATAAAAGTAAGCAAGGACATGTACCTAACTTGATTAGACTTATTTACCGGTGTGTGTTATCACACCGGAATCAACGGTGTGTGTTTGTGGGGGGGGGGGGGTCTTTTAAGACTCACCTCTCAAGGTTAAGTATGATCTTCGTTTAAAATCCCTTTTCTTTATCAAGTAATGTTTGCTTCTCAGGATTCACAATAACAGATGAACGTCCCTGCAAATTAATTAGATATCAAGACTACAATATTTTATGTCTATATCAGCGCATGGCTGCATTGCACTCAGACGATTACTAAGTATAGGAAACAACCCTGCATTTCAAAAATGAAAATCATTTTAGATCTCTTATCACGTATTTAGCATTCTTTTATAAAAGATTTAACATAAAGAAATGTATAAATACCTCCTATTTCATTGCTGGATATGGTGTTTCTTTGTCAGTATATGCGTGATTCTACATCTTCTGCGTTCAAATGCCATGTTATGACATAATCAACTGCGTCATTTTCTATCATAACGTATTAAACACTGCATGGTGTTTAATTTGCAATTTCTATATAAATACCATGTGTTTAATTTATAAATATATATGATTAAGAAATGAACACTCGTGTTAAACACCGGTGATTAAAATATTAATACAATTATAGAAATCATCATAATATTTGTTTTTATTTCGTCTTTAGAAGTTTACGAAAATTTTGAAATTTTGGCACAAAATTACTACTAATTAATGCTAATTGTAATTGCTTTTGGTGTGATCTAAAGTCAACATATTGCTTTGCGATTCATTTTTTTTTCTGTGTCGAAAAATGTCTACCATTATGTGCGGAATTGCTTCATAAATTAAGATATTGTAAAAATGGTGAATTCCTACAGCAAATACTGAGAAGAAACACCTTATTTATTTTTTGATTTGATGCATATGAACATTACGTGTTTAAGACGTATGGTTAAACACCCTACTTATTGAACACCAGATTAAATATCAGTGTTTATATATAAAACACTAATGTTTTATATTTAAACCCTCTATGTTTAATTGTAAAACACGACTGTTTAAAAATAAAACACAAGTTAAACATCATTTTTTACAGTGCAGTTATTAATCATGACATGTGAATGATTTTTGAAATACATTTCTGATACATATGTCGCCGATTTGTAGCTGAAATATTGCCGATTCGGCGTAAAACATTCAATCAATCAATCAATCTGGTACATATGCAGTGTATAAAATGATTAAAAGGTCCTCATTGAGTTTTTAATTAAATATTCCTGTTTGTGAATTTAGAAAACTTCACAAAAATGAACCTGTTCGTACTGTATTGATCCCAGGTTGTTCATATGACTCGCGAGCCGGTGAATTACGAGGTCAACCGATCAATCTGGTATATTCCCTAGTCCGTTGATTTTCAGAGCATAATTATAACCCCCTCCCGTTATAGGCCAATGACTCACATTGAAAGGGAAATTATGAAAGCAACCCCTTTTACGGGGAAAATAAGTCATAAATGAATGTCAAAATATTTTCAAGTAAGACCCCCCCCCTCCTCTATTTAAAAAACGATCGATTGTCTTAATCATTGAGAACCTTAACTTGCATTAAATTATGATGTGTTTTTAAATTTTACTGCACTTTCTAGGAACGTACATGTATTCATCTATTTTGTATCCTTTTCCCGGAAAGGGGCGTGTGTTTAATTTGGTCAATATTATACCTGCATGTTTTAATTCATGCGCTTTTCTGAAATCTAAATATAAAATAAAATTTATATAGATACACTGTACTTAATAATAGTTTTTAACGATCTTAGAAAGAATCCATTGGAGATGGACTTTTGAGATTCCCTCTTTTTGTTCCTTTATCACAAAATACTTAAAAGTGGGAACAGCGGTATAGAAGCAAATCTACAAATTTCTCCTAGCTAGTAAGCCCCACCTTAAAAAAATTAAGACCCTCGAATAAGAGGCTCGATATTTTGAGTCCAAAGTTTATTCAATATAATACAATGCAGCCACGTAGCATCGTTTTTGAAAGGGGGGAGCCTGAGAAAAAAATAGCTACCTGAAAAGTTGACAAACAAACAATGGGGTGACTCAGGAAAAGTTGCCCAAAGTTGACAGTCCTATTTCATGGGGTGGGGGGGGGGCTTACTTTTTCAATGTCAATTTTTTCCCGTACCAATTGCCTGCAGTAGGAGTAAAACCTTAAGGCGTGGATCTCATCTTTTCAAAGAAGCGGTAACTGACCACTGGCAACCCAGTGTTAGTCAGGGATGGGAGTGAAAAGATGTTTGATAAGAAGTAACTGACCCTTTGAATTTACTAGTGGGCTCTCAGAAAATATACTTTCAGAATGGCAGACTTTAGGCCTATAATATATACCGGTATAGATCCATTATTTCCGAATATTTACAATCAACATACCCGACTTTAATATCACATGTCTAGTTGCTACGTGTGTATGTCATGGTCCAAAGAGCTATTTACTTCTGAAAGTATATTTTCTGAGAGCCCACTAGTAAATTCAAAGGGTCAGTTACTTCTTATCAAACATATTTTCACTCCCATCCCTGACTAACACTGGGGTGCCAGTAGTCAGTTACCGCTTCTTTGAAAAGATGAGATCCACTCCTTAAGGTTTTACTCCTACTGCATTGAAAAAGTAAGCCCCCACCCCCACCCCACGAAATAGGACTGTCAACTTTGGGCAACTTTTCCTGAGTCACCCCCTTTTTTTTTTTGCTTGTCAACTTTTCAGGTAGCTATTTTTTTCTCAGGCTCCCCCCCCTTTCAAAAACGATGCTAGGTGGCTGCATTGTATTATATTGAATAAACTTCGGACTCAAAATATCGAGCCTCTTATTCGAGGGTCTTCATTTTTTTTAAGGTGGGGCTTACTAGCTAGGACATTTGTAGATTTGCTTCTATACCGCTGTTCCCACAATTACGTATTTTGTGATAAAGGAACAAAAAGAGGGAATCTCATAAGTCCATCTCCAATGGATTCTTTCTAAGATCGTTAAAAACTTTTATTTTATATTTAAATATCAGAAAAGCGCATTTTAAAACATGCAGGTATAATATTGACCAAATTAAACACACGCCCCTTTCCGGGAAAAGGATAAAAAATAGATGAATACATGTACGTTCCTAGAAAGTGCAGTAAAATTTAAAAACACATCATAATTTAATGCAAGTTAAGGTTCTCAATGATTAAGACAATCGATCGTTTTTTAAATAGAGGAGGGGGGGGGGTTGTTACTTGAAAATATTTTGACATTCATTCATGATTTATTTTCCCCGTAAAAGGGGTTGCTTTCATAATTTCCCTTTATATGTGAGTCATTGGCCTATCAAACCTTCGAACTGGTACTCAACTGCAAAAGCGTATAAACAAAATTAAGAAATGCTGCAAGTGAAATTAAATAGTTTGTTCGACTACATGTACCTCTCCAATAACGGGAGGGGGCTATAATTATGCTCTGAAAATCAATGGACTAGGGAATATACCAGATTGATCGGTTGACCTCGTAATTCACCGGCTCACGAGTCATATGAACAACCTGGGATCAATACGAACAGGTTCATTTTTGTGAAGTTTTCTAAATTCACAAACAGGAATATTTAATTAAAAACTCAATGAGGACCTTATAATCATTTTATACACTGCATATGTACCAGATTGATTGATTGATTGAATGTTTTACGCCGAATCGGCAATATTTCAGCTACAAATCGGCGACATATGACATGTAGGCCTATCAGAAATGTGTTTCAAAAATCATTCACATGTCATGATTAATAACTGCACGGTAGTGAATATGTACATAAAAATCATAAGAAAGAGATCAACATTAAAACGACTTATCTTCAAAATGTTTATTGATAATGTTGTTCATTAAAATTGTTTTGCAAAGAATCAAAATAAAATGAAACGTCTTGGTGCAAACCGCACATTATTCGCGGTGTCCTGATAGTTGTTCACAATTTCTCTAATTTGTCCGAACAAATAACTAATTCGTCCGAACGAATTTCTAATTCGTCCGTACAAATAACTTATTTGTCCGAACGAATTTCTAATTTGTCCGAACAAATAACTTATTTGTCCGAACAAATACCTTATTTGTCCGAACAAATTTCTAATTCGTCCGAACGAATTTCTAATTTGTCCGAACGAATATCTAATTCGTCCGAACAAATAATTAATTCGTCCGAACGAATATCTAATTCGTCCGAACAAATAACTAATTCGTCCGAACGAATTTCTAATTTGTCCGAACGAATATCTAATTCGTCCGAACAAATATCTAATTTATCCGAACAAATAACTTATTTGTCCGAACAAATATCTAATTCGTCCGAACAAAGAACTAATTCGTCCGAACGAATTTCTAATTTGTCCGAACTAATAAAAATATTTTTTACCTGGCCCTCCAGCGGCGCCGTAACAAAGTGTATATCTCTCTTTACAATATAATTTGTGCAAACATCTAATTTGCCCGAACAAATATCTAACTTGTCCGAACGAATTTCTAATTTGTCCGAACAAATATCTAATTTGTCCGAACAAATATCTAATTTGTCCGAACAAATATCTAATTTGTCCGAACAAATAATTTATTTGTCCGAACGAATATCTAATTCATCCGAACAAATAACTAATTCGTCCGAACGAATTTCTAATTTGTCCGAACGAATATCTAATTCGTCCGAACAAATAACTAATTCGTCCGAACAAATAACTAATTCGTCCGAACGAATATCTAATTCGTCTGAACAAATAACTAATTCGTCCGAACGAATTTCTAATTTGTCCGAACGAATATCTAATTCGTCCGGACGAATAACTAATTTGTCCGAACGAATATTTAATTCGTCCGAACAAATAACTAATTTGTCCGAACGAATTTCTAATTTGTCCGAACAAATAAAATTTTTTTTTTTACCTGGCCCTCCAGCGGCGCCGTAGCTTGACAGTCCGAACATACTCTCACTATGCATACATACGAGTATCGATCAACAATGGGTACCCCGGCAAATCTCCATATTCCACTGGAAAATTTATAATCCCACAAATTCCAAACATCTCAAAATTAAAAAAAAAAAACCCTTACCTTTTTGGCCCAAAGAAAGCTGGGTGCCCACAAGAATGAGGGCTATAACCCAGCCTGGGAGCCTCCACGGAACACCCGAATGTCCCGTCATGGTAGCTCAGTCTGCAGTGATACACATTAATATACTCTTCTCCTTTAATACCTGAGTAGTCCGACCGGTTCCGCTACCTTAGACTCCTCAAGTCCGATCGCTCAATGTCTCTTTAAATTTTCTTCATTCATCACTTTAAAATTGAAAGGAATTGAATTTCAGTGCGAGGTGATTTAATTTTTGGAAAGATATTTTTAATTTTTTACCACGTGCAGTAATGATGTGTTTTGTTGACATGTCAATCCTGATTTTGGTGTTGGATAGCAGTGGTGTAGCTAGCAAAATATCTACTGTATTTAAAAAGGCAAGGGG